GGCGATGAGAGGGACAGGTGGATTACAAAGGAACAACAGGAAACTTTTGGGAGTTATGGGTGTGTTCACTATCTGGATTGCAGTAATGGTTTCATGGGTGTACATGTTTCAAAACTTATCAAATTGTATGCTTTAAATATGTGCAATTTAGGGCCCAGCCCAGTGGCACAGCAGTTAAGTGCACACGTTCCGCTTGGGCGGCCAGGGGTTCACCGGTTTGGATTCCGGGTTTGGACATGGCACCGCTTGGCAAGGCGTCCCACATATAAAGTAGAGGAAGATGGCATGGATGTTAGCTCAGGGCCTGTCTTCCTCAGCAAAAAGAGGAGGATTGGCAGTAGTTAGCTCAGGGCTAATCTTCCTCAAAAAAAAAAATGCAGTTTATTGAATGCCAATTATACCTCAATAAAGCTGTTTGTAAAAAAAAAAAAAAAAAAGGAATGGGGAGATAAGTTTCTGTGAAAATTAAATGAAAGGAAGCATGTTAAGTACTTTGCACACAGTAAGTGCTCAATACTTGTTCTTGGAACTTGACTGGTCTCCTGAGTGGCTCTATCACATCTTCCTGTTTCTTCATGGCACTGAAGCAGTCTGTAATTATCTGGTTTATCTGTTTGTTTACTTATTTGTGGTGTGTCTCAAGGCTGTGAGCTCCCTGAAGTAGGGACTGGGTCTACTTTACCCCTGGGGCAATTTTCCCCAGTGCTGCTTTGAACCAATAGATGCCATCCCGCCACCTTCACCCTTAGTAACCACATCCTCTTGCTTACAGGCCACAGGAGTGTTAGATGGTTGGTAGCCTAAGTAGGTCCAGCTGGATCGGCCATGCCCAGGGGTAGGAAGGCTTTTGTGCGGGGACATCCCTGGCCTTCCTAACAGGACAAGACTGGAGGCAGCCAGTGTAGTGGGCACCAGCGCACCACTAGGGGTGAGGGGCCTTGGTGCCAAGCCCAGCTCTGCCCGGGACTCCACAATGGGACCTGAGCAAATTTACTGCGTCCACTTCCCTCCTGGTTGTAAGGAAGAATTTGGACGAGATGCTGCGAATTTGTAACGCTCTGGATGGGGTTGTCTACTTCCGCCGGGATGGAGATGGACTCATTCGATAGCTGTGAGCTTTTTGATAGAAAATACAACTACTACAACGAAACGCACGCACTCCGCAGCGAGAGGTCTCCAGGTACACCTCTAGACATAAAGGAAGCACGTACTCCTACAGCAAGAGCAAGTGTCACACATGCCCCGCCAAAATCTAAGACAGTACCCAACATAGGCGAACCGAACAAAAGCGAAGACAAACACTACCGAAACAGAACACAGGAACATGCACGTTTTAACTCTAAATCGCTTACATTGAACTCCGTAAAGATTCAGTCTCCGTAGAGACTGTCAAAAATTGCCAGTGCCGACTATATTTCAAGTCGTCACGGCGGGGTATTGGGAAAAGTTTTCAATTAGCAATAATCGCGCCTCGGATAAACCTCATTGGCTACGATACTGCCACTGCGCAAAGCTGAAGGAAAAAGCTCACCCACACCGCTCCCCTACGGATGACAATAGCCTTACAATGAGGGTGAGCGACTGCCAGCCAGATCGTGGATATGACGCGTTCCCCTTCGTGGAGTCAGATTTGAGGCCCGTCTGCGTGGGAGGCTTCTTGTTGTTGGATCATCTAGTGTCAAACATTCAGGTTTTGGAAACAAGTGTACATCTGCTGAGGATGCTGGGGAACCTTATGCAAATCACCATGACGTCACAGAGATAACCATATTGACTCCAATTTTGAGCGAGAAACACTGAGTCGCGGGAAGGCGTGGAAACCCCGGGTGAGCAGAAGAGGTAAGAGTCGCTGGGGCTGAGGCTGCAGAAACTGGGCAGGCAGGGGCTAGGGTTGGCATTTTCTCAGTAGTTAAAATCTCAAACGTTAGCGTGGCGAAGACAAAATAGAGAAAACGCGCTGTGAACATAAGAAAATACGCCCACGAGAACAAAAACACAAAGAAACCTGACTTGCTTAAGCAAGCTGAGTTGCTGGAATCGATCAACAGCTGTAACCGAAAACGAATCGTAATCGAACTAACACGGTGACTACTGTAAAACTTACAGAACCCAATGCATACAATCCAGAAAACTCGCAATGGAAACCACGTTCTTTTTTTTTTTTGTAAACTGAAACATTCAGTCTCCGTAGAGACTGTCAAAAATTGCCAATGCCGACTATATTTCAAGTCGTCACGGCGGGGTATTGGGAAAAGTTTTCAATTAGCAATAATCGCGCCTCGGATAAACCTCATTGGCTACGATACTGCCACTGCGCAAAGCTAACGAGAAACGCCCCCTACGCATCACCCCCAATAAGCAAGGTTCCTATTTCAGAAAGACGAGTTTGAGTCGCCTGGAAAAACCTTCAAATGTTGTTTGGTTAGAAATTATATAAACACATGAAGAGCTCTCGAAATGCATAAGCTGTTTCTGAAGATTCAGTTGTTTGATTTAACTATGTTTTGGTGGAGAATGAAGCAAAGCATTATGGGAGAGAACATGCTAATAACTTAATTCAGAGAATGAATGGGGCGGATGAGGAATCGACTCAGTATCAGGATGCTGTTCACTTGGCTCCCATTTCCCAGTGTAACTATGTCTCTAAAAGTTTTTTTAATTGTGATAAAATATACATAACATAAAATTTACTATTTAAACATTTTTAAGGTACAGTTCAGTAGCGTTAAGCACATTTACATTGTTTGCAACAATCACCACTATACCTCTCCAGAACTTTTTCATCATTCCAAACTGAAACTCTGTACCTATGAAACACTAACTCCCCCATTCCTCCCTCCTCTAGTCCCTGGCAACCCCTGTTCTGCTTTCTGTCTGTGAATTTGACTACTCTAAGTGCCTCATATAAGCAGAATCATACAATATTTGATCCTTTGTGTCTGGCTTATTTCATAGCATAATGTTTTTAAGGTCCACCCATGTTGTAGTACATATCAGAATTTCATTCCTTTTTATACCTAATATTCTATTCTGTGGAATTTTGTTATCCTTTTATCCTTCTATAGACACGCGTTCCTTCCTCCTTTTGGCTATTGTGAATAAGGCTTCTATGAATGTTGGCATCCAAACGTCAGTTTTGAGTCCTTGTTTTCAATTCTTTTGTGTATATACCTAGAAGTGGAATTTCTGGATCGCATGGTAATTCCATGTTTAATACAAAAGAGTTTTCTGTGGACTTCTTAATTCAGAGGAGAGAGGCTGAAAGAAAGAGGTTATTTCCGCAGAAATAGCCACAGTTCACGAAGTTTGAAGTAATTTTCACTTTCATTGCCTATTTTCCCTCAGCAAGTGGAAAGCTGTTAGAAAACTATATCTGGCCTTGTTTTCTCCCTGAACTATAGTCTCCAAAATACTTTTGGTTTTTGTTACTCATTAAGATGCAAATAGTAGGTCCGAGAAACTGACATTTTCCCCATTTTATTGTAAAAAATTTTGAACATGAAACATTCAAAGTATCATTCAGTGAACATTCGTGTTGTCATCATCTGGATGCAAAAATGGCATTTTAAAGACCTGTTTGATGCTAATGTGTAGTTATTTATTTATTTGTTTGGTCACAGCCATAACTGCCAGGGTAGGCAAAACCAGCAGGAAAAAGGAAAAGACTAGCGAGCTGATTTAGGTTATTTTACTTTAATCCAATCAAGGAGTTAGTCATTAATGTCCGGTGTGGTGGAGTTGTGAGAAATAAAAGACTAGGGTTATCCAAAGAACATCTCAGCCCTTGAGAATGTCTTGATTGGATGGCTCATTACACTCTGTCAGTAGCTATCAAGGGAAATCGTGTGTTTCACCAGCTGTCTTGGATGCCTTCACCCTCCACAGACGCCTTTTCAATGCTATGAGAAAAATGGAAAACTCCACTAACTTCTCCCCAGAACATGAGACTCTCTGGGGCCCAAAAGCACAATAGTCCTGTATGTCCAGCCAATCCCTATTAATGTTAATGATGCTCATTCCACTTGGAGAACTAAAAAACTTACACGGGTTTGAAATGTTTCATAATAAAATTTGACCTGGGGGGGGCGGGGAATGTCACCATTTTGGCATTTCCATAGGTTTTGATCAAACACCATGTGTGGAGAAAACGTTCTAGATTACAACTTTTTGACTTGGCAAAAGTTTCTATTCTGTGCTTTGGTTCTTTCTTTCAGCTGATGTGGTCATGCTAACTAAGGCACATAAGGCCTTCATGTCAGGTGATCCTCCCCACCTAGTAAATCCTACAGCTAGTGACCTATCCCAGCTGTTGCTGGAGGTACTGCTGCCAAACTACTGGACTGATTTACCTTACCAATATTTACCTCGGTGCATACAATGAGAGAGCCGGGACTCGCACTCTGACTCCGGCCTCCGTACTACTCCCCTGAGCTTCAGTTCATCTTAAAATGGGGGAAGGGGATCCTTAGGTGGTTTTCAAGGTCCCCGCTGGCTGCCCTTTGATTATGTTCCAAGACACCCACAAATTGATATCTTATTTAGGCGATGCTATAGAGCAGCAGTTCTCATTGGAAACACATTAGAAACAACTGGAAAGTTTGTAAATCGACTTTGACGTCTAGGCGTCTCCCCACACAAATTAAATCGGAATCTCTGGGAGTGAAAGCCAAGCGTGGTGTTGGTTCATTTAATAAAAACACAAGATGACAGAGCTCGGCCGTGCCCGAGTGGTTAACTTCGTGCACTCCGCTTGGGCTGGGCAGGGTTTCACTGGTTCGGATCCTGGGCGTGGACATGGCACCACTCATCAGGCCACGCTGAGGTGGCGTCCCACATGCCACAACTAGAAGGACCCACAACTAAAAAATATATAATATACAACTATGTACTTGGGGGATTTGGGGAGAAAAAGCAGGAAAAAAAAGATTGGCAACAGTCCTTAGCTAGGGTGCCAATCTTTAAAAAAAAAAAACAAACACGAGATGAGAAATTGAGAAGCCAAGTGAGTAAACACATTAGTCCCTATATATTATATTTGGCTTTCATTGTTCATATTAATTGTAAAAACAATTTTTCATATATTTGTGAAATAATGTAGTCACAGCCCACTGCAAGGTGGGAACTTGATTCTGTCACGGCGAGTGGAAAGGACCATAAACATTGAAGTTGAGGATGAGTCAAATCTTGCATTATTAAAGCTTCCATCTTAAGGGAGAATGCATGCCTAAATTAGCGCTGTTCGGATGTACTGTTTTGCACTCAGGACGTTGGTGTCCAAGCTTTTAACCGCTTCTCTGAGACAACTTGCTGGCTTAGGTGAGAAAGGCACATCGCGAACCAGGGTTCAAGCCTCTGAACCTTAGAGGAGAGGCGGACAGGGGGCGCTACTGGACAATCTGAGTCCCTCAAGAGGATTGTGGGACTTGTAGTTTTTTCTGCATCACTTTAGCTTCATGAACTACATTTCCCAGAATGCAAATAGGGCCGGTCAGTCCCACTGTCGGGGCGTACGGTGTCCTTTAAGCTGTGAAAGTGTGAAAGGTAAGTGTGTTCTGTGCGGGCTGCAGGTTTCTACAAGTTGTGGATTTCTTGTAAGAGATTCCATTTCTCCTTTTTTCCCTTTGGTGGGACCTGAGAGAGAGCAGCTGTTCCAGTAGAGCGTGTTTTCAGCGGGGTTTCTCGAGCCCTGTGGTCTCAAGAATCGGGACTATGTATTTGTTTAGCTGTTCACGTGTTGCTGCGGAATGTCAAGGAGAAATTGGGGTCCTGAACCCAGATCTGGAGAGCAGAGCATAAAATAATGTTTACATACGGGGTACGTGTCACTAGAGAATTTCTGCGTTACATCAAATATGTCAAAGCCTTGTTTTTACAACTAGAAAAGCTGACCCGCGGGGGTAGAATGTCTTGTCTGGTCTCAATACTCTTTGCTGTGTGCAAGTATCAGAGTTTGCAATTGAGGGTAAGCTAAAAGAATATGGGGAAAACGAAAGAATAAAATGTGTGCATGTGCTTAATTACATTAATAAAATCAAAAGCCTGAAAAGTCTGAGTAACCACTTCATCAACACCCGGCATGCTAGAAGTCATATGTGATTCTCTTAGGTTATGAAGAAATAAGATCATTCTAATTTATAAAATAGAAGTAGGTTTATGGAGCACACAGTCCCCAAGGGATGGTATTCACTAAAAATATAAATGTATTCCTCTTGTAGAGACATATTTAGATGTAATCATAGATAGAATGACAATGGACTATTAAGGGATTTAAAAGATTTGGGGCTAAGCCGTTAACCTTTTGAAGTTTATAAGGAATTCAGTTCTGACCAGCCATGTATTTCTGGGAGAGACAGAATAGGCCTTAAGTTAGGCTAGAATCCTGCTTTACCAATTTTTGCTTTACCTTCCTTCTTTTTTAAAATAGACTTTATTTTTTAGAGCCCCCCTTTTTTTTAAGATTAGCCCTGAGCTAACGTCCGCCGCCACTTCTCCTCTTTTGCTGAGGAAGACTGGCCCTGAGCTAACATCGTGCCCATCTTCCTCTACTTTATATGTGGGATGCATGCCACAGCATGACTTGACAAGCAATGCGTAGATCCACACCTGGGATCCGAACAGGCGAACCTGGGCCGTGTGAACTTACCCGCTGTGCCAACTGGCGAGCCCTCTTTTTTTTTTTTTAAATAAACCAAAATACATAGTTTCCCTTGGATGCAGAAAGGCTTGGCAGATTCACCAGCCATTTTCAGTTATTTCCATCTGATGGCCACTGGCATAGTAGAGCCGTAGCTGTGGGTTCTTAAGAGGTTAGGAAGACAAGATGGCTTGGGCTGTTATGAAATAGTCCAGTATGGAGACAAGATTTTAATATGCGGAAGGTATTAGAAATTGTTGACCAAAACAAATTGTTAAAAAGGTAATAAAAAGGTAGGCTTGTTGTTCAGGTTGGACTTCATAGGACCCAGGAGGGGGTTCTGGAATCAGTTTGTACCAGTGAGGATCAATTGTTAAATATTCAGGAATTTGCTAGTCATTTGTTAAACCATTGGTGGCCTGAAATTGGCCATTATGGGATATTTTTCTTTTTTGAGGGGGAGGGTATAAGGGAAGCCAGTTTACCAGCATACCTCTGGCAAGGGTCAGTTGTCTCTAAAGCCTGGAGCCCCAGTGTTCAATACATCCTTGAATTATCAGATCCTGAGCTGGCTCACCCTTCCAAATTTTACAACAGACTGGATTACAAAATAAGATTATAAATACACTCTAGGTGTGTGTAGGGGGCAGGGGGCTGTACCTTTCCAGTGAAAGATATTCTTGTTTATTTGGGGGCCATCCTTCAAGGTACTGAAGTCATTCATTCGTTATCAATAGGTTGTTGAGATAAACATGAAATCTGCCGCTGGAAGTAGTATGGTCTGCTGGGGTAGTTTTCTTAGATTATATAAAAACCCATACTCCAATACATTTTTCTTTTTTTTTTTTTTTTTGAGGAAGATCAGCCCTAAGATAACATCTGCTGCCAATCCTCCTCTTTTTTGCTGAGGAAGCCTGGCCCTGAGCTAACATCCGTGCCCATCTTCCTCTACTTTCTATGTGGGATGCCTGCCACAGCATGGCTTGCCAAGCGGTGCCATGTCAGCACCCGGGATCCGAACTGGTGAATCCCGGGCCACCGAGAAGCGGAACGTGCAAACTTAACCGCTGCACCATCGGGCCGGCCCCTTCCAATACATTTTTCTAATACCTAGATATTCTCTTTCAGAAGACAGTATTGTATGCAATGCCAACAAATTCCTACTCCCCAGCCATTTCTCAATATCATGCTGTTGGCTCTCCTCACCCTTCTCATAAAACATTTTAGTGTACAGGTTTACTGATTATTAGATACCTTTTGGGTTGGCAGCTTTCAGATATAAGTTGGATGAGTCTTGAAAGCTCATCAGTAACCTGCTCCCAAATCCCATTTAGGGTGGACTTTTTTGGGGCAACGCCACCCAAGATTTCCTTTATTAGTGATTTCTTGCCTAGAAGTTAGTTAGGGTTTGTCTATATATTTTTAGGCCAACCCTAGCCCTTGTTTATCACTGTAGTGTTGATAATCATGTGCCCTTGCTTTCATTTTTGTCTAGATCAAGGGCAACGTGAAAGAGGCAGACTTTAAAATTACCAGCCCTAATTCACTTTGTGCATTTAATTTCATGTACGTTTTCTCCAAAAAACGATATGACTGTTGATATAGTCCAGATGTTGGAGTTTTGTCTACCTTTAAAGTAAAACATTCCACATTTTAGCTTCTCTTCAAACTTCTCCATTCTTTTTTTCTTCTCACTTTTCTGATCATATCTCTTAAACTTTTAAAATATTCAAAAGATATAAGCATTTTCCTTCATCTCATGGCTTTTAGCATTCCTGCACTTCCACTGTCCTGGATGCACTAGGACATCTTCAATCCAGACATTCCTCTAAGGAATTATTATTTTTTTTTAATTTTATTGCAGAGATAGAATAATATAATGAACCGCCATTCATGAACCCATCACCCAGCTTCAACAATTCACAATTCATGGCTAATCTTGCTTCACTTATATACTCCTATCTACCCCCCCTTAATATTTTGAAACAAATCCTCCCAGATATATCATTTCGTCCAAATATTTCAGTATGTAACTCTATAGGATGAGGACTTTTTAAAAAATCATAATACCATTTGTCATATATTAAAAAGTTAACACTAATTTTTTAATATCAAACATCTGGTTAATGTTAAATTTTCCAGTTGTCTTATGTCATATTTTTAAAGTGTATTTGAATCAGGATCCAAATAGGGCCCACAGTATTATAATTGGCTGGTATGTCTTTAAATCTCTTTTAATCTATAATTCCCGCCTCGTATCTCTCTGTCTTTATCTCTCACAGTTTATTTGTTGAAGAAACCGATTTGTCTGTCCTGTAGTTTCCCATAGTCTGACTTTGCTGATTGACAAATGGTATCATCTAACACATTGCTTTGGCCTCTGTATTTCCTATAAATTGTTAATTAGCTCTAGTGACTTGATCAGAGTCAAGTTCAGTTTTTTTTCCTAGACCACATTTTGGATGGTGGTGTGCTGTTCCATCAAGAGTCTCATAATTCTGGTTCTCTCTCTTTTTGTAATGTTAGCAGCTGTTGATATTCAGTGCCTAGATCCTACTATTGTTTTTCGGCTATAAAATTAATGAAGTTCTGATACATTCTCCCTTCCTCCAGCCCCTGGCAACTACCGGCCTGCTTTCTGTCTCTATAGATTTGCGTGTTCTGGACATTTAAGTGGAATCATATGATATATGTCATTTGGTGACTGGCTTCTTACATCTAGCATAATGTTTTCAATGTTAATCCATACTGTAGCATATATCAGAACTTCATTCCTTTTTATAACTGAATAATATTCCATTGTGTGGATAGACCACATTTTGTTTATCCACTTATTAGGTGATGGTTACCTTTGGGTTTTTTTGGTTTTTTTTTTTTAAAGATTTTATTTTTCCTTTTTCTCCCTAAAGCCCCCTGGTACATAGTTGCATATTTTTAGTTGTGGGTCCTTCTAGCTGTGGCATGTGGGATGCCACCTCAGCATGGCCTGATGAGTGGTGCTATGTCCACGCCCAGGATCCGAACCGGCAAAACCCTGGGCCACCGAGGCAGAGTGTGCAAACTTAACCACTTGGCCACGGGGCCGGCCCCTTACCTTTGTTTTTAAAAACCAGTTTCTAAAAAAGAAACCCAAAAATATCAAACTGATAGATAAAGAGAACAGATTGGTGGTTACCAGAGGCAGGGGGTGAGGGTGGGTGAAATGGGTGAAGGGGGTCGAAAGGTGTAAAATTCCAGTTATGGAATAAGTCATGGGGATGTAATGTACAGCATGGTGACTATAGTTAATAACACTGTATTGCATATTTGAAAGTTACTAAGAGAAGAAATCTTCAAAGTCCTCATCACAAGGAAAAAAATTTTTCTCTAACTATGTATGGTGACAGATGTTGACTAGACTTATTGTGGTGATCATGTCATAATATATATAATATCAAAATCATTATGTTGTACACCTGAAACTAACATAATGCTACATGTCAATTATACCTCAACAAACAAGCAAAAGTTTCTCACATGAGGTTTCTTTCTCTCTAGAATGAGGATGAGCTTTGGGTTGACTTTCAGGACAGCAAAAGGCCACTGGCTGGTGAACCTCAGCCGGCAGTGCTCACATGGATCCACTGGGTTATTTGTGCCACCAAGTCCTCCTCTGGACCCTGAGAAAGTCAAAGAGCTACAGCGCTTCATCACCCTTTCCAAAAGACTCCTAGTGATGACCGGGGCAGGAATCTCCACTGAGTCGGGGATCCCAGACTACAGGTCAGAAAAGGTGGGACTTTATGCCCGCACTGACCGGAGGCCCATCCAGCATGGGGATTTTATACGGAGTGCTCCAATCCGCCAGAGGTATTGGGCAAGAAACTTTGTGGGCTGGCCCCAGTTCTCCTCCCACCAACCTAACCCTGCACACTTGGCTTTGAGCAACTGGGAGAGACTCGGCAAGCTGTACTGGTTGGTGACCCAAAATGTGGATGCCTTGCACACCAAGGCAGGGAGTCAGCGCCTGACAGAACTCCATGGATGCATGCACAGGTGCAGGAAGGCCTAAATAGTTTGAACACAGAAACGTAGGCTTCCGTAAGAATGGGGACTTTGGCTGTCTTGATCACTGTCGTCTTCATTAGACCTTGAGAAAAGGATCTGGGAGCAAGTGGTTCATTTTGGAGTTGATCCCAGCAAACTCAGTGAGGGAGTGGGGAAGTGAAACAGGGAAGGGAGGAAAGCCAAGAAAAGGGTAGGTTAATGAATGGTTACTGCTTTGGGCAGCTGGGGCTTAATTTTGTGAGGGACCCCCCCCAGACTGTCCGGAGCATGTTTCAGAATTGTCTCACTGAAAGTCGAGGAAGATGGGGTGTTTATCCACCGTCTCCCTTCCCTCATTGGCTGAGGGTCACTCTTGGGGAATTAACTCCCTAACACTGACTCTGCTCCTCTTGAGAAGCCTTCCTTGTTCAGAGAACACCGTAGGCAAGAGAGATGCAGAAAGTTGCTTATAGGACCACTGTGTGCAGTGGCTCTAGGGTATCCTGAGGGGACTATGAGCAGAGCACCAGCAGCACATGCTACACACTGCTGGGTCTCAGGGGCCTTGACACACAACACAGTGTAGCCTGGCATATAGTCAGAACCCAATAAACATTGATGGAATGAACACATGTAGCCCTGGCAATAACTTGTAGCTAATTGCAGACCATTTCCTTATCTTTAAGCCCCAGAGATCCTCCGCTGAGAACTAAAATCAGTCTGCCAACTGTAAAATGTTTATTGGGTGCCTGCAACATGTGGTGTGTACTGGTGTGCTACTTGTTGGTGTGGAGGGGTTAAAGCCAAAATATAAAACATGGTCTACTTTATGTGTGAGAACTTTGCAATCTGTTTAGGGGGAGACCCAAAAACAACAGGTTTAATGACAAACAGCTCTATACATGATTGTTAAGTTGTATAATCCTTGATAGACAAGCTTTACAAGTTCAGAGAAACAGATTTAGTAAAGATTGGAGTAATAAGGAAAGCTTTTATGGGTAAGGTGGGGCTTGAGACTGGCTCAGGTTTGACCAGGCAAAGAGCAGGAAAGAAGGCTTTCTCTGTGAAAGGAATTTCTAGAGCCCAGAGGAATCTGGCTTGGCCTCTGTAGAGACTAGTATGAAATCAGATTGTCTGGGTCAGATTGTCTGGGAAGGCTAGACCCAAATCATGGATGCATTTGAAAATTATGCAGTGCAATCTGGAACTATTGTGAGAGACCAAAGGGGACCATTAGTGGTTTCTGAGCAAGAAAACAGCATGATAAAAATAGCATTTGAGGAAGGCTAAACAGGATTAGAGAGAGTGGCTCAGGGAGGTCAGCCTGAAGGACCTAGATTAAGGCGGTATCAGGACAAAGAGAGACCTAATGATGGCCATGGGTCCATTAAAAAGTTATTTTTTCATGATGAAAATTTCAACCATCCACAAAAGTAAAGAGAATAGTATAATGAGCTCCCATATACCATCACTTAGATTATCAACGAGTTTTATCTTGTCTACTTTATCCCTTCTCTCCCTGTCTCTTCTTAAATATTTTAAGACAAATCCAAGACTTAATGTCATTTCACAGGGGGCCTTGTAAGTAAAAAAGTCAGCATAATCTGATGGCTGACTAGAAAAAGAGTAAAAGGAGAAGAATGAGTAACTAGTTTTTTCCAAGGGTTTCAGCGCAAGTAACTGGAGAAATGATGGTGATGGCGAAATTGGGGAGGTGAGGTTGAAGACAGAAGGGAAGCTTGACAGGACAGCCAAGAAGACTTGGAATTGGACTAGAGTTTGGGAGAGAACAGGAGAGGAGTCTTAGATAGAGGAAGAAACCATTAGCACACAGGTGTTCGGCAGTGAAAACGGAGAGTCCCCAGGGTGAGGACCGTAGGAAGAAAACAGCCTGGAGGATTGAAGAGCAGAGGAGGAGCCAACTAAAGCACCTTTCCTTCCTTCAACAGCTATTTAGTGAGTGCCCACAGCGTGCAGGCACTGACCTAGGTGGTGGGCCTAGAGCAGTGATCAAAGGACTCTAAGTTCTTGCCCTCACGGAGCTCACGTTCCGCTGGTTAGAGAGGTGAGAAGAGAATCAGAAGATATTGTGTCATAGACACCAAGGGGGGAATGTGTCTTAAAGAGAGGGTGGTGACCGACACTGACTATTCCAGCAGATGAGGAGAGCAGAGGATGGAGGGAAAAACACTGGTTTTGGCACTAAAGAAATCATTTGCTAAAGCATTTGCAGTTTTGTTAAGGATAAAAATGAGCCAGCAGAAAGTTGAGCAGGGAGTGTGTAGTAAGGAAACAGATGTACATCACTTGTTCTAGAAGGTTGGCAGTGGAAGGAAGGTGAGAAACAAACGATGGTAGCCAAAGAAGTCATGAAAAGGTATTCCCAAAATGGAGAAAAACTGGGTGTTAGAAAAAGAAAGCAATGATGTAGGGGCTGAAAATGGTCGAGGATGAAATATCTTCGGCAGCTTCGTGCCTCCCAGGACAGATGGTTCAGTCGGCCTCCTCTTTGGTTTCAGGGTCCTCTGCTTGCATTGTGGTGAACAGACTCCCCGCGGGGTGCTGCAGGAGCGGTTCGAGGTCCTGAACCCCACCTGGAGTGCCGAGGCCCACGGCCTGGCTCCCGATGGCGATGTCTTTCTCACAGAGGAGGAGGTCCAGAACTTTCAGGTCCCGTCCTGTGCTCGATGTGGAGGCCCCCTGAAACCAGATGTCGTTTTCTTCGGGGACACAGTGAGCGCTGACAAGGTTGACTTTGTACACAGGCGTGTCAAGGAAGCCGACTCCCTCTTGGTTGTGGGATCGTCCTTGCAGGTGTCTGACTTGGTTGCAGGGGGTAACTGTCCCTTTTGGGGGATAGGGAGCCCTGGAGAGGCTCCCCTCCTGGTTTCTCTCTTTATGCATCTAGAAAGCTCTTACCTGGCTCTTCTCCTGGTACAGGTGTACTCTGGTTACAAGTTTATCCTCACTGCCTGGGAGAAGAAGCTACCCATTGCAATACTGAACATTGGGCCCACACGGTCGGATGGCTTGGCATGTCTAAAACTGGATTCTCGTTGTGGAGAGTTGCTGCCTTTAATAGACCCACACTGACCACAGCCTGATGTTCCTGCGCCGGAAACTGGAATTTCCACTTGAATCCTGCTGCTAAAGGTAAATGCCTTCTCAGATATCAGATGCCAGTTTCCAGTCAACTGAGAGCACTGACAAAATACAGAAGGTTCTAGGCTGCTTAATGTGTGGCCATTCTTAATTAAAACCAATTTTTTAATGTGCATTAAGCTATAGTGTTTGAAAGACTATGATTTTCAAATTCTAAGCACATGGCTATTTAAGACAATGTTCCAAAATCTCCTGTTTTTTTTAAAAAAACAGCTTTATGAGATATAATTCATATATCAGAAAGTTCACCCTTTAAAAGTAGACAATTAACATTTTTTTTTTCCCTCTTCTCCCCAAAGTCCCCAGTACATAGTTGTATATTTTAGTTGTAGGTCTTTCTAGTTCTGCTCTGGAGTCGCTGCCTCAGCATGGCTTGATGAGCAGTGCCAGGTCCATGCCCAGGATCCAAACCGGTGAAACTCCAGGCCACTGAAGCGGAGCACGTGAACCCAACCACTCAGCCACAGGGCCAACCCCATAATTAACTTTTTTTTTTGAGGAAGATTAGCCCTGAGCTAACTGCTGCCAGTCCTCCTCTTTTTGCTGAGGAAGCCTGGCCCTGAGCTAGCATCTGTGCCCATGTTCCTCTGCTTTCTATGTGGGACGCCTGCCACAGCATGGCTTGCCAAGCAGTGCCATGTCCACACCCAGGATCCGAACTAGCGAACCCCGGGCTGCCGAAGTGAAATGTGCAAACTTAACCACTGTGCCACCGGGCTGGCCCCTACAATTAACTTTTAATACACTCATGAAGTTGTACGTTAATCACCACTGTCTAATTCCAGAACATTGTCATAATCCCAGAAAGCAACCCTGTACTCATTAGCAGTCTCTCCTCACCACCACCACAGTTGCCCCCAGTCCCTGACAACAGCTAATCTTTCAGTTTCTGCCTATTTTAGACATCCCGTACAATCTGTGGGCTTTTGTCTCTGGCTTTTCCACTTAGCATGTTTTCAGTGTCATCCACATTGTAGCATGTGTCAGTACTTTCTATCTATTTTAACCTATGAGTACAGCCACTTAAAAAAATAACAGCTTTACTGAGAGATAAATCACATACCATCCAGTTCACTCATTTAATGTGTACAATTCAATAGCTTTTAGTATATTCTCAGAGGAGTACAACCACTTTTTTTTTTAATAGACCTTAATTTTTAGACTAGTTTTTTTAGGTTCACAGCAAAATTGAGCAGAAAGTGCCAAGTTCCCATACACCTCCTGCCCCTGTACACTCAGAGTATTCATCATTCTGCTCAAGGACATCTTGGTTGCTTCCAAGTTTTGGGAAACTATGAATAAAGCTGCTCTAAACATCCACGTGCAGGTTTTTGTGTGGACATAAGTTTTTAACTCATTTGGGTAAATACCAAAGGAGCAAGATTGCTGGATTGCATGGTAAGAGTATGTTTAGTTTTGTAAGAAGCTGCCAAACTGCCTTCCAAAGTGACTGTCCCACCAGCAATGAATGAGAGTTCTTGTACAACCACTTTTTAAAAACTGTTGTAATTGAAGTATATTATACATACAGCCAAGTGCACATATCATAAGTGGACAGCTTGATGAAGATGCAGAGCATTTAGATCGAGGAACAGAACATTACTATACCCAACAAGTCCCCTTGGCACAAACATTTTTTAATATACTTTTAATCTAGCTCCTTTCTTTCCTTTCTTTTGCTGAGGAAGATTCACCCTAAGCTAACATCCTCTTTTTGCTTGAGGAAGATTTGCCTGGAGCTAACATCCTCTATTTTGTATATGGGTCACCACCTCAGCATGGCCACACAAGTGGTGTAGGTCCAGACCTGGGAACTGAACTCAGGCTGCCAAAGTGGAGCACGCCGAACTTAACCACTAGGCCACAGGGCCAGCCCCTAGTTTCTTATTACTGGAATAATACATATTTATTGTACAAACTTTAGAACATGCAGTTAAGTAAAAAGAATAGAATACAAATTGCCCATAATCCCACCCCCAAGATAACCAAAGTTCAACATTCCGGTATAACTAAATCTGTTTTCAATTGAATCAAGCTGTGCATAATGCTTTACTATGTCCTGTTTTCACATAATAATATATAGTGGCCATCTTTACATGTCCTAAATGCTATGGTTTTCTGAAAGGTAGGCCGATGTTCAAAATCATTTCCCCTACCTCACTTTCTACTTATTTTGGCATTAACTTGTTTCATTTTTTTTTTTCCAGATCCCTAAGAATTCATCCCTTCTTCCTCGAACTAATGGAAGCTCACTGAGGGCAGCCTGTGGAGGGCAGCAAACCAACATCTCTCTGCCAGCCTGTCTCTGAACTGGGCCGGTTTCAGAGCCAAGCAGTTAAGTTCTTCAGGCTGATGAGATTTGCCCCTGAAGAAAGACTTTTTCAGAGCAGCAGCTTCTCTTGATAGGAAAACTGCTTTCTCTTCCTTTTTATCTCCCCAGGTAGAAGAAATGGCCTGGTTAATATGTAGGCCAGAATGGTCTTTGGAGTGCTAATGTAGGGATTTCACTAATGTAGGGTGTGAGGGGAGAAGGAAATGACTTAATTTATAATCTCAAATGCTTAAATGTTTTTAACTGAAGCATTCTGATACATTTTTTTTTTTGAAAAGATGAGCAATGGTATGAATGAATTTTTTTTAACCAAGGAATAAAGGAATCTTTTTTTTTTTTCCTTTTTCTCCCCAAAGCCCCCCGGTACATAGTTGTGTATTCTTCGTTGTGGGTTCTTCTAGTTGTGGCATGTGGGACGCTGCCTCAGCGTGGTCTGATGAGCAGTGCCATGTCCGCGCCCAGGATTCGAACCAACGAAACACTGGGCCGCCTGCAGCGGAGCGCGCGAACTTAACCACTCAGCCACGGGGCCAACCCCTAATAAAGGAATCTTTTTAACAGCATACTAGGTATGCGGGCTGTACATTTCTATTCTTTTTTTAATCAGGTGAAAGAGAATGGGGCTTAGTAACATGGTTCTCTAAGGATTTCTGCTTGATTTCAGCCGCCAGAACAAGACACCTGCCTTGAACCCAGCCTGTAGAGAGGAAACAGTGAATTCCCAAGTGGGCTCTTAAATTGTTTTTGGCGAGGAAAGCAGCAAGACTTGTTTGATTACTGCCTTAGCCAGAAAGAATCATTGTACCAGGCTAAAGCTTTCTGCACAGTCTCAGCAAAAAGTGAAGCGGCTGAAAGAATCACAACTATTCCGGATAGTCTTTTGTCTAAAATTAGGGCAAGCAATACACGTTCATCCTGCACCCGCCTAGAAAGCAAAGTCCCGTTAACTGGGATAATCTAAGCTCTTGAAAACATAAAGAGTGCTTTTCACCTGCACAACTGTAGGTTTGCTCATAGTCATTAATTCTGCAGAGGTTGTTGTAAATCTCAGTCCAGCTTTTTTGTAGGTGAGGATCCTAAGGTGCTTTGAATCAGATTTGCTCAGTTACCCAAAGTCAATGCCAATAATTGTATTCAAATCTGGGTCTTTGAATGTCAAGCCATTCTCACCCACAAATCTCAGAAATGGTTACTGACAGTCACTGTATTAAGGTCCCAGGGCTACAAAGAAACAACCTCTTGCCCTGGAGTGTCTCACCGAGGATGAGCTATTTCCTCACCCTTATTCTCTGCCAGAAAATGTCGGAGTCATGCATGGAATGACAGAATGAGAGAAAATTTAGTCCATCCCCCTTCATTTAATCTTTGAGGAAACTAAGCTCCAGGCTTACCTAAGGCCATGGTATGTGGTTTCCAAGCCGGGACTAGATCCCAAGTAGACTTCCCTCCTAGTTCTTTTCTTTTTAAACAACAATGCTTCTCTTTTGTTTGAAGGCTATGGTTAGAAAGAAGTCAGCCAGAAGTAGAAGTAGAAGCCAGCAGTACACCTGGCCAAGGAGACCAGAGATGGTTAAAATGTGGGCAGCGGAGAGCAGGTTAGGTTGCCAGGGAGAGAAGGCAGGCTCTGTCATCACCTTGATGCTGGCATGATTCATGAAACCAAGTCTTGAAGACCTTAACAATGCTCATTTTGTTCATATTTCCTCCTGAGATGGAATTCTTTCCAAAAAATTTGTCTCAAGAGGAACTTGGTATTTCTTGAAGGTGATGCTTCTCATGGTGCCTTCCTTGACATCTTTTGCCTTCTGCTCAATGGCAGTTCCTAACCCACTGTAAGTGCCCTCGGTTGGACTAACAAACATCTGCTAGTAGGTGCTATCAGTTTGTCACCACCCAGGTTGCATACTTATAATTGCATAACCTAGTTTAGCCATGACTTTCGGTCATGTCCTTTCTCATTGCTGCTGCGGTTCTGCTCTGCTATCACAGTTTCGTAAGTAGAAGTCACAAAGGCAAACAACTACATAACACTCGAAACCTCTTTCGCACTAACTCCTACTTTTTTTTTCTTTTTGAGGAAGATTAGCCCTGAGCTAACTGCTGCCAATCCTCCTCTTTTCTCTGAGGAAGTCTGGCCTTGAGCCAACATCCATGCCCATCTTCCTCTACTTTATATGTGGGACGCCTACCACAGCATGGTGTGCCAAGTGGCACCATGTCCATACCCGGGATCCGAACCAGCGAACCCCGGGCCGCTGAGAAGCAGAACGTGCGCACTTACCGCTGCGTCACCGGGCTGGCCCTAACTCCTACTTCTTTTTATGTTGTTGTAAACTGAGTATCCTTCTCTCACCTCTCCCTTAAATAACAGCATTTCTTGAGCACACTATATCCCAAGCACTATGCAAAGCATTTACGACACGTTAGTTCACTTATTAAGAGTTAACTCCACAAGAGATCTTGGACATGCACAGGGGTCGGTCTTCAGTGAATGCTGGGACTTTTCCTGAGAGGACCAAAGGAAGGACCTATAGGAAATTCAACACTCCTAGGTGGGGTGACCAACTGTCCCAGATTGCCCAGTACTGAGGGGTTTCTTGAGATGCATGACTTTCAGTGCTAAAACCAGGATGAGTTGGTTACCTTGCTCCTGCAAATAGCGGAGGTTGCCACCAGGTGTTAATTAATTCCAGCTGTATTATCCTTAAGATTCAAGATGGTGCTCTAAGATCCAGATTTTTTACTTTGATCTGTTACAAAACAGATAAATTCTATTTCATAAAGAAAAAAAAAATTAAACTCATCCAAGAAGGGAAAGTGGTTTTTTTTCTTCAATTCATTAGAAAAGGAATATAGCATGGAATTGAAGCTCTTATGGTATAGACAGACTTGGATTTCCATCCATGTCTTGCTACTTACCAGTTAGATGAACTTGTAATAGTAGCTACCTCATGAGTTGTTATGAAGATTAAACAAAGTAGGGGCTGGCATGGTGGCATACGGGTTAAGTTCGAGTGCTCTGCTTCGGTGGCCCGGGGTTCGCCGGTTCAGATCCCCAGCACCAATGTATGCACCACTTATCAAGCCACGCTGTGGCAGGTTTCCCACATAGAAAATGGAGGAAGATGGGCACAGGCGTTAGCTCAGAGCCAATCTTCCTCAGCAAAAAGAGAAGGATTGGCAGCAGATGTTAGCTCAGGGCTAATCTTCCTCAAAAAAAAACACAAAACACCCAAAAAAGTAACCATGTGTGTGAAGCTCAGAGCAGTGCCTGCACATGGGAAGCAAATGTCAGCCATTATCATTAGGATGTGGGAAGAGAGCAGATGGTGGGAAGGGAAGCCAACATACCTGCCAAATCTTTGTCCGCTCTTGAGTACTCCTTTAACTAGACTCATAAGGATCTTCCCCAGAGACACATTTCCTTTTCATGTGAATGTTTGTCTTTTTTAAAAAATTACAAGAGCCAAGTCTTACTTGATGTAATAAAGCCCTTCTAAAAAAAAGTAAGTGAATATCCTTTTCTATTCCCTTGGGAAAGTAATAATATTAAACATTTACTGTACAACAAGCACTATAGAAAGCATTTTACAACGCATTGACTCACCTAATTCCCACAATCCTATCATCTGCCCACTTATTGCATTCGAAAGATGAGGACCCTGAAGCTTCGAGACCTTATTTAATTTGCCCAAGGTCACCTAGGGTGACCAGACCAGTAATCAAGCCCGTTCCGTCCAGTTCTGAGCTCGCTCTCTTCCTTTAATGCTCTAGAAACGCGGTGGGGTAACTGAGCCACTGAACTTTGGGAGGGAAGAGGGCAAGGCTCAAGATACTTCCAGAAGTGACCCCAGCTGGGTCCTGAAAGATGAAGAGACAATCACGAGGCGAGAAAAAGGAAAGCATTCCAAACAACAAAAGCAAAAGCATAGAGGTCAGAACTGCAAATCCCTCCACTCTTCTTTTCCTTCTTGAAGGTGGGGGTGGGGATTCAAGTGGGAACTCGGGGCGCCCCAGAGGGCCTTGGCTCGCCCCAAATCCACTCGCCTCTCTCGTTGGCCATTCCTCCTCCTCGCGCCATTTTGATTCCCTGCGCCCCACTGTCCCAGGCCCCTCGGTCCCTCCCCGGCCTAAAAGCAATGGAGGAATTACCAACCGGAAATTGACGAGGAGCCTGGGGGAAGAGGGGCGTGTGTGTGTGTGCGGCGGGAAAACCGAGAGAGGGATGAGCGCGACAGCAAAGTTGTCCCCAACGTCACACCCTCGTGAGTTCGCCCTCTTTTCACAGTCGAATCGTTCACTCTGTCCTTTCGGCTGGATTTTGGCTCAGGAAAAGAGAGTACCAGGAAGCCCCCACCTCACAGGAACGCCGCCTCAAGCTACCATTACCAACCACTGCGCCTGCGCCGGCTCGGGCTCTAAGCGTCAGAGGGCGGGGCCTGAGCCTGGGAGGTGCGGAGATGGTGCGGGGGCTGGGCTGCTGTTCACCAATAGAAAGGAGGAGCCGAGAGCCACGTGCCCACAAGCTATCCAATCATATTTCCTACTCCGAAATCCCTCCTACTCTGGGGCGTGGCCGGCGGATTGACAGGGTTGGGCGCACAGGATCACGTGATCCGAAAAGGTAAATACGGCCGCGTGGTTTTTTCTCGACAACCCTTGCGCCGCACTAGGATCTTCGCTGAGAGGTTATTTAATGAGCGTGTTTGATGTGCTAAGCGCTGTGGAGGTACTGTGGCTGGTAGGATGTAACCCCGACTTCAAATTACTCTCAGTCCAGTTTATTTAATTATTTATGCATTTAAATCTTCCCAGCCACTGTACTAGTGTTTCTCGCATTCCGTTTCCTGTAATGAACACCCAGCAGATGCTTATTAACAGATTATTGAAAGAGTTTACTCTCTCTCCCCCAACCCTTGTGATAATGAAAAAGAGGTAGGTTTTTAAGTTAGAGGATATTTTTTGAGCCAGCTATAGCTTTTAGTACTGTGTGACTTGACTGTTTCGTCATCCAAAAAAAATGGGATAAACAATAGTCTCCTAAAATCCCACCTTTCTTGCATCCAAACAAGGGCTTGCAGTTTCTTTCCATTGAAAAAAAGACATTTGTGACCTTTACGGTTCGTTGAAAGCTGAGGCCAGGTATAACTTAATTTTGCATCCTTTGCAGTCCTACTGTGGCACAGAATGCCTATTCAATCTAAACTTGTTGACTCTAAATTTGAAAACAGTCCCATTCTAGCCTGCCAAAATCCTGAGCACTACTGACCAATAGGTCACTGGGCATTCAGCAATTATGTATTACATGCCCCCTATGTGTCAAGTATTGTACTGGGCAGGTAGGGATACAGAAGTGATTGACACCTCACTCTGCCTTCAGCAAGTTCACAGTGTGATAGCACGTTTCCTCTAAATTGTCCAAATGTGGGTTCTAATCTCAGCTGTGCTACCTATGAGTGGGTGATCTTTGGCAAGTCACTTGCTTCTTTGAGCCGGTTTCCTCATCTGTAAAATGAGCATGTAATAATACCTACAACTGTAGAGCTTTTGTGAAAATGACGAGGTAATCGTGCAAAATGCTTGGCATGGTCTGGAGCATGTGTAACAGTGCATATGCCGGTTCGAAGAGCAAGAAGAAAAGCCTTAGAGAAGGCTAAGCTGCAGGCAGCTGCTAACAATAAATCATTGTCTTGAGGCCAACCCCCCAATACATTGTATTCTTGGCATTTTGTACAGTGCCTAGCCTAGAGTGATTGTTCAATAAATATTCATTTAATGGGTGAATGAAATGAGGGAGAAATTGGACCAAAGGACAAACCCGTGCACACTACTTTGCTGCCTACCGTTCGCCCAGCAGTGGAACGTTCGCCCAGAACAGTGGAGGCTGTTCTGTCAGCCTCCAGTGGTTTAAAACTGCTTAGTGGTGGCTTCTCATAGTCAGCATTGTTCCTTCTCATCTTTGCTTTTCTAATTCAGTTCCCGTAATTCAGTTCTAATTCTGCCCTCCCCACTCTCTCTGGTGAATTTCAGTGCCAGTGTAGTCATAAATCCTCCTAGAAAAACTTGGCTGAATGACTTAGTGGTTAAGAGCTCAGGTATTGCCATCAGACAGATCTGGTCAAATCCTGAGTCTGGCATTTGTGTGACCTCCAGCAAGTGACTTAATTTCTCTGAGTTTTCAGTTCCTCGTCCATAAAATGGGCTCAATAATATTGATGTCACTAAAACTGGTTTGAACGTTCAATGAAATGAAGTGTGGAAAGCCCTTAGCACAGAGTGATATGCAGTGAGTGCTCAAGAAGTCGAAACTGTTATTGTTTATTATATTTGATGACTACAAAGTAAAAATCAGGTTGTAGAGTGTGGTGAAGTCTCTGAAGGGCTTAGAAAGAAAAAGAGTTGCAGAAAAAATGGTTTAACACAGTTGGGAATGGAGGCAGAGAAATGAGCGGAGGCAAGATCTGGCTCAAACTGAAACAAGAGCCCACCGCTTCAGGCAGCGCAGAGTAGTCTAAGAGTGTGTGTTCTGTTGTCAGACTCACTGGGTTCAAATCCCTTCTTTGCTACTTCCTAGATGCGTAGCGTTGGGCAAGTGACCTCTCCTATTGAGCCTCAGCTTCAAAAAATAGGATTTGCTAATAGTGCCAAAACCTAATAGGGCTGTCCGAACAATTTAGAGACACACAGTCCTGGCACAGAGTAAATAATCAGTGGTTGGTAATCATTATTCAGGTCTCATGGTGCTTGCTTGCTGGAAATATCCTTCTAATTCAACTTCCAAGGCTGGAAGGAATGATGCCCACAAAGGACTAGGAAGAGACTTAGTATGTTCAGTAGTAGAGAATAAAACAATCTCCAAATATGAGGCCTTTCAACAAGATGCTTTATTGGAGGGCGCAGGGTGGGGTGAAGGCCATGAGGCAGGTAGGGATGACTGTTTCCAGGGGTGATGCTTAGGCTTTACACCTCTTGCTGTCCAGGTTCTTGTTCTCCGGGTTGTATGGGGCCTTTGAAAAGCAGATGGCAGCATTTCGGTCACAGTTACAGATAAAGGCCTCACAGGCGTTGTTTTTGTCTGGAAAAGAACAAGAGGACAAGATTGAGCCAAGGTGGATCCTGCTTGAGACAGTCCAGGGGCAGGAAGAATTAACTGGAATAATCCAGTGGCCATTCCATCGGTGCAAATTTAGGGTTGACAGATTAAGCAAATAAAAATACCGAAACTGCAGATCAACAATGAATGCAGTATTTGGGATATAGACTAAAAAATTGTTCATTGTCTGTCTCAAAGTCAAATTTAACTGGGCAACCTGTGTTTTATTTGGTGATCCTAGGGGTGATTTGGAAAGTCTTGTCTATTTCACACCCCTAAATGAGCTCCCTGCTTTTAAAACCCATATAGCTGGGGCCGGCCCAGTGGCCAAGTGGTTAAGTTCACGTCCACCGCTGCGACAGCCCGGGTTTGCGCCGGTTCAGATCCTGGGCGTGGACATGGCACCACTCATCAGGCCACGCTGAGGCGGCGTCCCACATGCCACAACTGGAGGCACCCACAACTAAAAAATATATGCAACTATGTACTGCGGCGATTTGGGGAGAAAAAGGAAAAATAAAACTACAGATCTCTAATGACATAGGCAAGCAGTTATAAACTGTATGGAAAACACTAAAACATATACTTAAGGCAGCAAAGTATTAGACATTTCAACCTAGTGAAGTTTAGTAAGCCGATTTCTCTGCTTTAAAGCACATATTAAAAAAATTACAGAACATCGTTACAATAGAATATTATACATTTAAAAGAATTAAGTATGTCTACATGTGGAAATATTTCCAAAATATTTTATTAAAAACCAGCCCTGGTGGTCTAGTGGTTAAGATTCTTTGCTCTCACCACTGTGGCCCAGATTTGTTTTCCAGTCTCCCCGTTGGGGAACCACACTACCTGTCTGTTGGTTATCACACTGTGGCAGCTGCGTGTTGCTGTGATGCTGAAAGCTCTGCTACTGGTATTTCAAACACCAGCAGGGTCACCCATGGTGGACAGGTTTCAGTGGAGCTTCCTGACTAAGACAGCCTAGGAAGAAGGGCCTGGCCACTCACTTCCGAAAAAAACTGGTCATAAAAACCCTATGAATAGCAGCAGAGCATTGTCTGATAGAGCTCCAGAAGGTGAAAGGATGGCTCAAAAAGACTGGGCAGGGTTCCACTCTGCTGTAAACAGGGTCACTAGGAGTTGGAATTGACTCAACGGCACTGACAACAAGTCTTATTAAAGAATAGCCAGTAAATGCCTAAAAAATTTGAAGGGTTCTATATCCAACTGGTTATCCTTGGGTAGTAGGAACAAAGATGCCTTCCCCTTTCCATGACATGTATTTCTGTAGAGTTTGAAATTACCTTACTTTGGCCCCATTTACTTTGTAACCAAAAGAAACAACACAGATAACATTTTAAATGCATTTGAATTTTATTATCCATAATTTAATTGCGTATCTCTGCTTACCTTCAATAATCTTACTAAAGCTTTGTTTCTGTCTGCTGCTTTCTTTTAAAAATCACAAATGTTTTCCTCACCCAGTAAACATCCCTTAAAGCCTAAATTAGCAATTATATTATAAAGTATACACAAGATATTTAGTGAGTTATTGTTAATTAATATGAATAATTGGAAAATAATTGATTTCCCATATATTTAACTTTCTAAAGTGGAGCACAGCTGAACTGTTACCAGGGGAGTGTGCAAGCAAATTAAGCCACGGTATGCAGCGATTAAAGGAGTAACAATGAAGAGTGTACGGCAATATGGGAAAATGGCCGTAACACGGTGCTAAGGGAGAAGAGGCATAACGCAAGATTGCGTCTATGCATTCACCAAATATTTCCTGAGCACCTACTCTATGTCAGGCACTGCTCTAGGTTCTGCAGATAACAGCGTTGAAGAAAACCGAGACCCACCCCAGTTCCTGTGGATCCTACTTTCTAGTGGAGAGATAGAAAGTAAAGAAGTAACGTAAATATATCACATGTTAAGTTCTGTGGAGAAAATAAAGCAAAGAAAGAAGATAGAGAATGGTGGAGAGATGGAGAGAGTGTGTATGTGATTTAAAAGAATGTGGTGAGGGAAGACCGCACTGAGAAAGCGACTTCTGAAGAAAGAGTAAAATGATATGAAACTTATTCCAAGGATAAGGGCAGAAAGTAACAGGGAGGCATGACACCACTGATTTCTTAGGATGGTGGGATTCTGGGTAATTCTTTTTTTTGACACTTTTGGATTTGAATTATGGTTCTTCCAATGATGTTTGTACAGTTTTGAAAAGTGAGACCTGTCTGTGAGTGCAAAGCGGTGGGCTATGAAAATCCAGAAGGCTAGCCTGGCACAACAATATCCTTCACCTCTCTAAAGAGTCTGCTCTTCAGAACCGCCTTCGTGGAGGGACACAGTTCACCATAAGCACTGCCTAACTTAGCCGTTAAGACCACAGCCTTTGAGGGGGCCGGCCCTGGTGGCGTAGCGGTTAAGTTCTAGTCCTCCGCTTTGGCGGCCCAGAGTTTGCAGGCCTGTATCCCAGGTGTGGACCTAGCACCGCTTATCAAGCCATGCTGTGGCAGGCGTCCCATATATAAAATAGAAGAAGATGGGACAGGCTCAGGGTCAATCTTCCTCAAAAGAAAAAAAAAGAAAGAAAAGAAAAAGAAAGACCAGTCTTTGAAGTCAGAAGCAATTGAATTACCCTACCATTTACAAGCTGTGTGATTTTTGGACACGTGGCTATTTTTGAGCCTCAGCTTCCTACCTTGTAAAATGAGGTTAATAAAACTTCTCTCATATACATCTATAGTCTAGTACCCGGCACGTAATAAAAGCCTAATAAATGCTAAGTTCTTTCTATTAAATAACAAAACAGTATAGCATGACAGTTAAAAGCAGAGACTTTGGAGTCATATAGACCTGTGTTCAAAAACCAAACGCCACCATTTATGAGCTGTGCGCCCTTGGGTAAATGGCTGGGCCTTCTGAGCCTCGGTTTCCTCATCTGTCAAATGGGGATAATAATAGTCCACTTCCCGACACCAAGAAAATGATCAATAAGTGGTGGCTATCATTACTATTATTTCCTCCAATGCCTACTGAGGACCTCTGAGCCAACAAGGGGGTAAACGTACCGCTGCAGGTGACCTCAGTGCCAGAGCATGAGAATTTGTAGCTTTCAGTGTAGGGGTTGTCCACCAGGAATCTACAGCTGCTCAGTTCCTTGGCCTGAGTGTAGCAGTTGTCGTGTACCTGGCAGCACCTGGAGAGGGGGAGGGACAAAGATGAGGCAGCAGCAGGCTCTGGGCAGCAGGTCAGCCTGCACCTGCTCTCTCAGCAGCAGGTGGGGATGTTTTAGCTGACATGCTCCAAGAGATATTGGTCCTGTGGCTTCAAAAAAAACTTAAGTCCTTTTTATCGTGTTTATTGAAAGAGATTTAAGAATGGTTGCAGAAATTCGGTACAATCATATATTCTGAAAATGCAGCGATGGTTTTAACACCGCTGGAAGTTAACGCTTGGATCGTTGTTGGAGTGTCTTGTGTTTCAATATCCTGCCACTAGAGGGCAGCAGCATCCACTACTTTACATCTCGACCTTGCTCTTCCCATCCCTAACAGAGCGCTAGATTCAGGGTCGTTTGGGAACATATTTGTTGATATGACAAGAGGTGAAAATATGTAATCCTTAGCAAATATGCGAATCCCCTTTCTGTGCCCCCTCGTCACGTCTTTGACTTGTGCTCTCCCCTCACCCCACGGACACTCCACTCTCCCTGCAGATCAATCAATTACTCACGCGTCCAGTTCGTCCACAGGAGTGCCAGATCCACCCAGGCCACAGTAGCAGCCGTAGTCATTGAATTCCAAATAGGGTTTGCTGTTGGGGATCGTGCACTGGATCATGCTACGGAACTGCCACACTGCCCGCGGGCTGATGCCGTTCTCACCAGCGCCCACTGCAAGAAGACGCAGCCTGGGTTCAGATCCATCCTGGTTGGCTCTGCCAGCGCCCCGGGGCCTCACGGCCCGCCTGCTCTCTCGGGCCCCACGCTGCCCCCCCCAACCCCTGATCCCTGGCAGCTGCCCCTTCGTAAGAGAGCTGGACACAGGAACCTGGCAAAGTGAGTAGGGATTTTTTTTAATGAAAACTTTTTAAAAATAAGTTTTTATTGAGATAAAATTTACATAACATAAAATTCACCATTTTAACCAAAGTGTATAATTCAGCAGTTTTTAGTATATTCGCAGAGTTGTGCAGTCATCACCACCAATTCGAGAACATTTTCGTCACCCCGAAAGAGCACCCTTTCCAATTGCTCCCTGTCTCCCCACCCCTCTGGCAACCACTCCTCTGCTTTTTGTCTCTCCAGATTTGCTTCTTCTGAACACTTCATATAAGTGAAATCATACACTATGTGGCATTTTGTGACTGGCTTCTTTCACTTAGCATGGTGTTTTTGAGGTTCATCCACGTTATAAAATGTATCAGTACTTTATTCCTGTTTATGGCTGAATAGTATTCCACTGCGTGGATGGACCACATTTTGTTTATCCATTCATCACTTGATGGGAATTTGGGTTGTTTCTACTTTTAGTCTATTATGAATAATGTTACTATGAACATTTCTGTGCTAGTTTTTGTATAAACATATGTTTTCGGTGGGGATAATTTTAAACTATCCCCATTATCAGTGAAGAAATAAAAAAATCTATAGGGGCTGGCCCCATGGCCGAGTGGTTAAGTTCGCGTCCTCCACTTCAGCGGCCCAGGGTTTCGCAGGTTCAGATCCTGGGTGCAGACATGGCACCACTCATCAAGCCATGCTGAGGCAGCGTCCCACATGCCACAGGTAGAAGGACCCACAACTAAAAAAATATATACAACTATGTACTGGAGGGCTTTGGGGAGAAAAAGGAAAAATAAAATCTTAAAAAAAATCTATAACCTCCTTGAGCTTACATCCTACTTGGGGAGAAAAACAATAGATGAAACAGAAATAGAAAAAAGAAAAAAGAAATAGATGTAATATGGGGCCAGCCCCGGGGCCAAGTCATTAAGTTTGTACACTCTGCTTTGGGTGCCCAGGGTTTTGCTGGTTCGGATCCTGGGCACAAACATGGCACCACTCATCAAGCCAGGCTTAGGTGGTGTCCCACATAGCACAACCAGAAGGACCTACAGCTAGAATATACAACTATGTATTGGGGGCTTTTGGGTAGAAGAAAAAATAGCAAAATTAAAGTAATAAAGAAGGAAATCAGATATTGTGTTAGAGTGGAAAATTGGAGCAGAGTAAGCGGAATCTAAAATGGTGGGGAGGTGTCAGGAATGAGGTAGGGCAGGAGTGTAAGGAATAGCGAGGAGGCCTGTGTGGCCTCCCGTCTTCAACAGGACAACCTCTTTTCTGCCTGAAGGCCCACGCAGCTGCTGTTCCCTCTCCCTGGCACACTTGTCATCTCACTTTTCAAAAGGCTGGAAGATCTTGGTTTAAATGCTACCTCCTCAGAAAGGCCCTTCCTGCACATCCAAGCCGAATGGCTCTTTTGCTATTACTCCTCTTCGTGTTCTTTGCTTCTCACAATCTGTATCCATCTGCGTATTTAATGCCTGCCTCTCACAGGACCAGAACCTCCTCAAGAACAGACCTCATGTCTTTTGTGCCCCAGGGCCGAACATGTGCCTGACATATAGTAGGCACTCAATAAATAAATGATGAGTTAAATGAATGAAACAATCAAGAAATGGATTAGGGGCCGGCCCGGTGATGCAGCGGTTAAATTTGCACATTCCGCTTCGGCGGCCCGGGGTTCGCCGGCTCGGATCCTGGGTGCGGACATGGCACCATTTGTCAAGCCGTGTTATGGCAGGCATCCCACATATAAAGTAGAGGAAGATGGGCACGGATGTTAGCTCAGGGCCAGCCTTCCTCAGCAAAAAGAGGAGGATTGGCGGCAGTTAACTCAGGGCTAATCTTCCTCAAAAAAAATAAAAAGGAAAGAAATGGATTAAAGAATTGCCTGGCACGTAGTAGATACTCAATACATATTTCTTGAATAAGTGAAAAAAGTCTGCCTCTAGCTGAGTGTTTGCCCAAACTGAGCACAAGCCTTGGCACAGCAGACTCGGAGAAGCAGAGCCCCATCACCCTGTTTGCAGAGCGCTCCCCTGTGCGATGGGTGCCCTCAAGAGAAGATGGCACTAAAGGACTTGGGGTCCTGTCCAATTAGCCACCAGTGTTACCTCTTTGCCCCATGCCTTGCCCTTTCTTTCCTTCATCTGCTAGGCACACTGGAGCTGCAGCATGTGCCCCAGTCCCGGGGGGAGGGGAGGGGCAGCAGCTGGTTGCTGTCCCCTCTGAGCGGCTTCCCGGGTGGCTGGCAGAGGCTGCATCCAGCAGCAGAGGCCTGGAGCCTGCTCAGACAGGAGTGGCCTGGCTCCCTTGGCCCAGCTCCAGTCACTCTCCTGCTTCCCTCTGTTTCTCTCCCTCCAGTCCAGCCAGCGCTCATTGCAGAGGCCAGAGCTACACAAGGCTACTGCTTGTGTGCGTGTGTGTGCGTGTGCTCCTTGGATAGGGAGCCTGGCTCTTTCATCTCTGAGTCCTCAGTCTCAACCCAAACCTGACCCTGAAGGGCACTGATACCATCAGTGTTGAATGAATGAATGAACCATGGGTGAATGAGGTGGGATTTGAATTCCAACGTGTCTGATTTCATTAATTCATTCATATGCTGTAAAACAGCATAGCCCTGGTCTCATGGAGCCCATGCTTCGGTGTGGGTAGGGGATGCAAAAGGAAATGAATCAGAGAGAGACAAGGTGCAGGCAGAGGTCCTTGCCCCGAAGACCCTGTGGCAAGGCAGTAGCATAGAAAGAAAAGAGAGGGGCCTCCCGTAGCTTGGGTGGGCGGGGCAGGCCTTTCTGGGAGAGGTCATCTGAATTCAGACCTGAAGGTTGAAAGGTGCCAGCTGTGGGGGATTTGAGGGAACCCCAATATGGGAGCTCTTAAGCCCCACCGGGAGCCCTGAATAAAGACTAGCCCTGTGACCCATTCCAGAGGAGCGAGGTCTTAGCACCGAGTGGGTGGAGCTGGGGAGACTCGCCTACCTGTAAGCAGAACAGCCAGCACAAGGAGTTTCATCTTGGCGTCAAGTTGGTGACTGAAAGGATTCAAGCCTCCTGTGGCCTCCCTCCTTATAGCTGCCTCACGGCCCCAAGATAAGGCTGTGGTGTTTGCTTTGCTCCTGGGCTGATTCTGCTTTGGCCTTGAGTTTATCTGTTGCAGGAATGACCCTGACCAGCGAGCAAGCCCTGCCAGCAAGGGGTCATTGGAAGTAGTGGATGGGTGTGTCGTTGGCACTTTTTAACAAAACTGGTTATTTCTGGAGTCGAACATCTTGAAATCTTGACCCTCACACCCACCGCTTGGCACTCAGCCCAGTTTCATCGTTGTGGGGGTGTCAACAAAGCCAGATCCCCACTTAACAACTGGAAGAACGGGGGTAGGAAGGAAATGTCTGCTGTTTCCGTGTCTTCTCATGTGCCTGGGTCTGAGCTGTGGGACCATCGAATGGTCCCATCAAGCATGCACTTTGCAGACGAGGAAACAGGTTCAGAGAGGTGAAGGAACTTGCCTGAGGTCACACAGCTAGCAAATGGCAGAGCAGAGGCTCAAACTTAGGCGTGTCTGATTCTAAGGCACACGTTTTATTTTTTTCCCACTATGCCAATACCACCCGTCCCCCATTCCCCACTGTGGGTTTGTGAGAAAACCCTGGGCTTTGGAGTTCTAAAGGCTTGCATCTGACTTATAGAATAAAAAAGGGTTTTCGAACTGCCACATCAAATGTCTATATAACATTGTTTGGGTGAAATTCACATAGCATACAATTTAACCGTTTTCTTTTTAAAGTGAACAATTCAGTGGCATTTAGTACATTCACAGTGTTGTGCAGCCACCATCTCTGTCTAGTTCCAGAACATTTTCATCCTCCTCAAGGGAAACCCTGTACCCATTAGCAGTCACTCTCCCCAGCCCCTGGCAACCACTCATCTGCTTTGTGTCTCTATAGATTTACCAGTTCTGGATATATAAGCGTTTACTTGCTGCTCTCCTGTTGAGTTCTTATGCGATCTCTGCAACAACCCTGTGAGTTAGGAAGGCCTTGTTGTTTTAATTTAATTTATTTATCTATTCATTTACTTTTTTTCTTGAGCAGAGAGGTCCTGCATACCCGTCCCCCCATAGTTTCGTCTATTGTGCATTTGTTACAATTGATGAACCAATGTTGATAACTTATTATTCTTAAAAATAATATTAATAACTCAAGCCCATAGTTGATTCAGATTTCCTTAGTTTTTACCAAATGTCCTTTTTCTGTTCCAGGTTCCAATCCAAGACAGCTCATGATGTTAAGGGGCCATGTCTCCCTGGCCCTCTTGGCTGTGGCAGTTTCTCAGATGCCCTTGTTGTTGATGACCTTATAGCTCTGAAGAACACTGGTTGGGTATATTGTGGGACACGCGTTTACTGGAATCTCATGTTTTGATGATTCGATTGGGGCTTGGTTATGGGTTTCAGGGAGGAAGATCACAGAGGTAAAGTGCCCTTCTCATCATATGTTTTGTTTCATTCTCTCTCGTCCTGGGAGGCATCTGGGCCCCGTTCCAGATGAGGACACGGAGGCTTAACCTGGGGTAAAGCCGGAAAAGGCCATGCCCAGACTTGAACCCACACCTGCCCCTTCCCCTGGGCCACTTCCTGGCTCCCTCCCGGCCGGTGTTATGCTGTGTGTGAGTCAGCGCAGCCTCAGTTGGCCGAATTCTAACGCTGTGGCCCCTGCTCACGCACTCCAGGACTCCAGCTCTCTGCACTCCTCCCTTGAGAAGGCGCTGGGGCCAAGGAAGAAGGCCATCTGGAAGGACTTCCCTTCTTCCTCCCAAGTCCACGAGCCCCAGGAGAGGTCCTTCGGCTAAGGCGATAACACTGAAACAGCGTTTAGTAAGCAGAGGGGGAAACTGAGGCCCAGAAAGGGGAAGTGATTGATTCGCTTGGGCCCGACTCTGCCCCCATTTGACCCAGGCTTGTTTCATGACACTCATCTCTTCATACTTGCCTGAGGGTTCTACATCTGCCCCACGTGGTAGCCATTAGCCATATGTGGCTATTTAAATTTATTACTATTAAACAATATGAAAAATTGGTTTCTCAGCCCCACTAGCCACATTTCAAGTGTTCAGTAGCTACATGCGGCTGCTGTATTGGATAGGGAAGATATAGGGTGTTTCCGTCATCACAGAAGGTTTTGGTGGACACTGCTGCTCAGGACATCACGGAGTCTGCCTCAGTGCTGGCTCAGAGGTGGGAGGGGGCTGGGAGAGCTACGGGGGGGGGGGGGGGTAGGGTTAGCTCGGGACCCCACATCAGTCTGACGAGTGCTTCTGCCTCTTCAGCCCCCAGAATGAGTGAAGGCTGCCCAAGGAAAGGGAAGGCTTGGCCAGCAAAATACTAAGTCCCTCTTCTGTGGGCTCTTTGGTGTCAAAATGAAACTGAGGAATGCACACTGCTCCTCTTGGGAGTGGTCTGAGGAAGGAGGAGTAGCGGATGCTACAAAATCCTCTAAGGCTAATAGTATCAATTAGCATTCACTGAGCACTAACTCTATTCCAGTCCCATGCTGAGAGCCTGGCACAAACCTCTGAGGTAGGTCCAGTTACAAACTCCATTTTACACAGAAGATGATTGAGGCTCAGAGAGGTTAAGGGACTGCCCCAATGTCACACAGCAAGACCAAGATGTGAGTCAGATCTGGTGCTTATGCTACTACCACAGCACCTCATGGCAGGGAATTGTCGCAGGGGGTGGGAGCGCCGAAAGCCCCTTGAGGCCAGAAGGAGGTTTAGTCCTTCCTACATCCCTCCTTTCCTCCTCCCCCACTCAGCTGGAGGCCTTCCACAAGGACAGGCTGGACAAATTCCCACGTGCCATTTGTGCCTGGGCTTAGACAAAGCACCTGGTGGGGGAGGGGTCAGGCTGCTACTAGAACCCTCTTCTCCCTGGAAAGAGACATGCTAAATGTGACAGTCCAAACCTCTTCAGAAGACACAGAGGTGGCAGAGGAATGGACCCTGCAGATCACTGGGGAGCCCACCAGGCCCCTCCACTCTTTGTGCCATGACCTTTGGCTTCCCAGGTCCGTCCCCAGGTGTGAATGGCACAGCTTCTCCCAGCCTGGGAAAAACACACTCCCCAGTGGAAAGAACAGCTAAGGATAGCTTCTTGACTCCTTCAGGTGACAGCATACCCACACTCCAGCAAGGTCACACCTGCGCAGCCCTGAAGGACAAGGCTCCTGCTTCCAAGAAATGCAGAAAAGTAGCCACTAGCTTCATTTGCTGAGTGCTTCTTTATGCTTGGTACTGTGCAAAGCACTTTCCATATATTGTTTTTTGGCCTAACAACAACCTTCTGATATAGTTATTATTGTTGCCATCATTTTCCCCCTTTTACAGATAATGAAACAGGTTCAGAGAGCTTAATTAACTTGCTCAAAGTCACACAGCTAGAAAGTGGTGGAGATAGGATTTGAACCTGTGTGTACCTGTCTCAGTCCAGGGCTCTCTTCAATAATATTAATAATAATTAATAATAATAACAGCAACCACAGCAGCTAACATCCCTTGAGTGTTGTGTCAGGAAAGATACCAAGAGCTTTACACAGATTAGCTGACAATGAAGTGCTGTTACAGATGAGCAAATTGAGGCAGCATACAAAAGTATCTAAACCTTTTTCCATACCCAGATCCACCGTCCTCAGCATCTGGATTTTCATCAGTCTCCTAACTACTGTAGCAGCGTCCACTCCCTACCTCCCCCATCCATCCAGAGAAGGAATTCTTTATATATTCTGTCTATTAACCTTTTATCAGATAGATGATTTGCAAATATTTTCTCCCATTTCATAGGTTGCCTTTCACTTTGTTGTGTCCTTTGATGCACAAAACTTTTTAAGTTTGATGTCGTCTCATTTGTCTATTTTTGCTTTGGTTGCCTGTGCTTTTGGTGTCATATCCAAGAAATCATTGCCAACTCCAATGCCACGAAGCTTTTCCCTTATGTTTTCTTCTAGGAGTTTTATAGTTTCGGGTCTTACGTTTAGGTCTTTAATCCATTTTGAGCTAACATTTGTAGATGGTGTAAGATAAGGGTCCAACTTCCTTCTTTTGCATGTGGAGAACCAGTTTTCCCAACACTACTTGTTGAAGAGACTGTCCTTTCCACACTGAGTGACCTTGGCAGCCTTGTTGAAGATCACTTGCCCATATAAGTGAGGGTTTATTTCTGGGCTTTCTATTCTGTTCCATTGTTGGCTTATGTCTGTCTCTATGCCAGTACCTCACTGTTTTGATTACCGTAGCTTTTGCAGTATGTTTTGAAATCAGGAATTGTGAATCCTCCAACTTTTTCAAAATTGTTTTGGCTATTCAGAGTCTCTTGAGATTCCATATGAATTTTAGGATGAATTTTCCTATTTCTGATAAAAATGCCACTGGGCTTTTGGTAGGTATTGCACTGAATCTGCAGATCACTTTGGTAGTATAGACATCTTAACAATATAAGTCTTCCAATCCATGAACATGGGATGTCTTTCCATTGATCTGTGTCTTCTTTAGTTTCTTTCAGTAATGTTTTGTAGTTTTCAGGGTACAAGTCTTTTACCTCCTTGGTTAAGTTTATTCCTAAATATTTTATTGTTTCTGGTGCTATTGTAAATGCCATTGTTTTCTTAATTTCCTCTTCTGATTGTTTACTGTTAGTGTATAGGAACACAATTGGTTTTTGTGTGTTGATTTTGTATCCTGCAACTTTGCTGAATTCTTTCATTAGTTCTAACAGTTTTTTGTGGTGTCTTTAGAGTTTTGTACATAAGATCACATTGTCTGGGAAGAGAGAGAGTTTTACTTCTTCCTTTCCAATTTGGATGCCTTTTATTTCTCTTTCTTGCCTAATTGCTGTGGCTAGGACTTCCAATACTTTGTTGAATAGAAGTGGCCAGAGCAGGCATCCTTGCTTTGTTCCTGATCTGAGAAGAAAAGCATTCAGTAGGAATTTTTTTAAACATTAACTACAATCCCATGATCACACTTAACAAAAATAACGATAATTTCTTAGTGGTATCTAATACCCAGACCACTTTCAGAGACCTTTGATTGTCTCAAAATGTCTTTTTACAGTTTTTCCAAATTGGATCCAAA